TAATCGGTCCCCCTAATTGAGCACGAATCCTTTTACAGAATCTATTATCGGTACTTTATTTGTTATGACACTGAGTCATATTTAATGCGCCATGAATTTTAATCATTTGAACTCTAACAAAAAAAAAAAATAAAAAAATTTTTTTTTAACATCGTTCGAAACTTCATTAATAACCGCTTTTCTTTGCGTTTATTTATCCTAAGGAAAATTTTAAATAATATACCTTTTATATAAATAATTTTAATTAATTCCCTGATTAAAAAATCAATCAAATATTTTTTTCCAAACGAGAATGCAAAATAATAATAATAATAATAATAATACTAAAAAGTTTTTTTTTTTTTTTTCTCCTACAATTCTTTTATTATTGGGCTTTAAAATTTTTTTTAAACGTAAAAACCTACGCTTTTTTTTTTTTTTTTTTTTTTTTAAATAAAAAAATGCAAGAGAGATAATCGAAAAAATATTAGCATATGAACAAAAAAGTTTTTCTATAGGAAAAAAATTTTTATTGTTTCTTACAAATTAAATTGAGAAATACTTTTTAAGAAAGTTTCGTTTTTATCGATCGAATCAAACGATTTCAAAAAAAAAAACGCGTATTTTTACAATGCGGAGGGGCTTTAGATAAAAGTTTAATTTTTATGATAAGTTCGACATTATTATTTTTTTTTTTTAAAAAAAAAAATCAGATTAATGTTTTTTTACACTTACGTAAAAACTTTGATAAAAGATTTCTAGCCCCCCCCCCAAAAAAAAAAAAAAAATAGTAATAATAATAATAAAAAGTTAGCAATATGAAAAAAAAAAAAAAAAAATGACCGATCCTTGAATTAAACTTGGCAAGGATACCATCACAACCACCACCATCACCATCACCCTGACTCTGAATGAACCACACCCAATATTTAGTTTTTTTTTTTTTTTTTTTTATTGTGATCTTTCACGACATCAAGTGTGTGTGTGTACCTGAAAACGTTTTTTAAATTATTCTTAAAAGACGATCGACAACATCCAAAAACACCCTTTTTGAATAAGTTTTAAAAAAAAAACATTTTACAACTTGAAAATTTTTATTTTGTTGTAAAACTACAATCGTTTTTATCATATAAAATTTTTTTTTCTTTTGCCTTTTTTTTTAGTTTAGCCAATTTAAATATGTAATTATATAATCAGGTATTTATCGGGTTTCTAATTTTCCCCTAAGGCGTGTTTATAAAAATTAAATTTATCATAAAAAAAAAAATATTTCCTTATACAAAAAAAAAAAAAATTGATACCTATTTTTATAAAATATAAAATCTTTTTTTTTTTTTTTTAAAAAGTAATTACAGGTGTATTACTTCTCAAATCATTAAAAAAAAAAAAAATTAAAACGTAATTCTGCACAAAAAATATTATATATTTATGTAACATATATAAAAAATTGAGAAACAGAAACGAAAAAAAAAAATCTTGAAAGCATAAACGACTCTTTAATGATTTAACCCAGGCAACGCAACAACACAAAACTACAAATTAATCAATTATGAGACATATGAGTGTTGCGTTACACTTTTATATATACAAAAAAAAAAAAAAAAATTACCATGCCGTGTGGTATTGAGACGAAAAAGAAAAAGTTTGAATTGTCATGTGTTTAATAAAAATTATTTGAAAGTATTAAACGAAATGCACACTTCTCTCGAAAACACACGATGCATTGCCAAACATTTATTTCCTTTATTAAATATTTTCAAAAAAAAAAAAAAAAAAGGGCAAAATGCTGCTCGTGACATAAAAGATAATATACCGAAACATTACAAAATTCTTTAAAATCAAGGCAAATAAAATCAGTTTTATTCTTTACTCTTGAAAATAAATAAATAAATAAATAATTTATGGCAATGCGTGAATTTATACAAACAAAAGCTAAATACAAAAAAAAAAAATTAAAATTAAAATGAGATTGATTATTGATAACCGATTTTTGTTTGAATTTGAACAAAGTTTATTATTATTATTATTATTACTAAAAACGATTGTGAGAATTTTGAACTTTGTATTCAAATTATTTAAAATAAAAATTTTTTTTCTTCTTCTTGCGGCCCTTCAACTCATTATTTTAAACGCATACAACAACAACAACATATTATAACGTTTGGCCAACTCAGTTTAATGCAAATGGAAACTTTTTTTTTTTTTTTAAGCAATTTGATAAATTTAAACGAAAAATTTAACATTTAACAAGTTTAATAAACCTTTTTAATAAATTTTTTTAAATAAATTTACTAACCTGGCCCAAATCAAATGATATATTATGTTTTTGTTTTTTAAAATTGAAAATTTCTCACAATAAAATATTTTAATAATAAATATGTTCAAGGTGTTAGTTAGTTGCTTACAAAGCGGAAAAACTATACGATACTGCCCACAACGTTAGTAAACTAAAGTGTCATTAGAAAATTGACTATGAAAGTTATCCAATTTTTCCAAGGCCGGCAACCTTATTCAAAGACAAAAAGAAATTTAAGATACGCTTTTTATTATACGAAAGAATGTAAGCAGCAATGCCGCAAAGCGAAACCCCGTGAAATAAATATATATATAATTTTTTTTTTTTTTTGTCGAACGTATCAACTTTAAATTAAACGAGGAGAAATTATTTATTTATTTATTAATACATTTATGGCATTTTCACGAGTACAGGTTGTTTCGAATTAGAAAAATTCTAAAAGAAGGAATAACAACGTAACTTTTTATTCACAATACTACTACTACTACTACTCGTGATGAAGTTTGTTTTTTCTCATAAGAAATTTTTTTAATTTTTTTACTAAAACCTTTCTAGCAAAACATTCCGAGTCGTGGAATAAGAAAGAAAAAAACAAAAAAACCTAGTTTTAAATTTTAAGTATTTGAATTGACAAAACCCAGGTTTGAATTTTTTTTTTAAAAACAGACCAATTTTAAAAAAATCATTAGAAACACTTAAAATAAACGTCGCAGTTAAACACAGCCTTAATTACCAGACTCATAAAAAAAAAAAAAAAAAAAAAACGTTCAGGATACGTGTTATTATTATTATTATTACTATTTTTTAAAAGTGTCACATTAGCCACAAATATATATTTTTAATAAGATTAAATTTTTAAATTCGTATGATTATATTATATTTTTCAAATGTTTTTCTTATTTATGTAAAAAATTTTTTTTCGCTTTTTTTTTTTAACAATAAAATAAGTTTTTTTTTTGGATTTTAGAGAGAGAGAGAGAGAGAGAGAGAGAGAGAGAGAGAGAGAGAGAAACTTTTAGGGACGGGGGGGGGCGAATTTTGACCGTGGGTGGCAAGTCAAGCATCACTGCCCCCCTTACATTTTTCAACCGATGCCTATCAACCGCCCTTAAAAACGTTAAATGAACTATAATATACACTTTTATACGATACAAAAAAATTTTTTGCACTCACACCACATAAAAAAAAAAAAAAAAATTTTTAAATAAAATTCGTTTTGAATTTTTTTCTTAACCGCGTTAACCATCTTTCCTTATAGAGTACTTATAACGTGAACGATTTGAAATTTTTTAAAATAAAACAGAAAGATTTACAAAAAAAAAAAAAAACACATTTTACCGGTTTAAGTTGTTAATTTGTTTTTTAATATGAAATATCGTTTTTTCCCCTCCCCCTCCCCCCACTCAAAAAAAAAGCCGCTCACGAAAAAGCTTTAGGCAAAATTTTAAAAAATTGCATATTATTATATAATTTTCATTTTTGCTTTTCAAAAAAAATTACTCAATGTGATATCTCAATTGTTTTTTTAAGCATAATTTATTCTTATAAACCCTTAAATAATATTTTTAATGAGGTTTAATGATTCATTTTTTTATCTTGCGTAGAACAATAATAACTTCATCAAATGTTAAATTTTAATTATAAAAGGTTAGAGTTCAAATGCGAAACAACGAACGACCCTGCATGCATGCAAAAACTAAGAATGTATATTAAGGAAAGATTATAAAATAATAAATTTAAAAATAAATCTATTAACAATAGATGCACATGCAGAATATAACAATTTATGCATTTACTATTATTTATATTTTCAAAAATTTTAATTATTTGAACTGAATGAAACATCAATGAATTGTTTCGATAGAAAATCGTGAAAGAAAGAAAAAAAAAAGGAAATAGTACCTCGTTAACTAAAATTAGCGTAATTAAAGTCGACTACCGCTCTTGCATTTTTTTAAAAAAAAAAAAAAAAAAAAAAAGAATATTAAATAGCTTGCGGATAATTACACTAGCTACAATTTGCTCATAATAATAATTATT